GAGACCAGACTTCATCCCCTTCCTCCCCTCACAGGCCCGGGACCCCAGCCCTCCTCCCCTCGGACCCGGAACTCCAGGATGCCAGCCCCCTCGCACCTCCCACGCTCCCCCCACGACCCGGGAGTCCAGGACCCCCGGCCTCTTCCTCCCTAAAACCCGGGGCCCACCTTGCGGCCTTTCAGTCCCTACTCTCGCCGGGCCTCCCATCCTGCCGACTCCGCCTAGTTGGCGCCACATGGGCGCGTCCCCGGACCAGCCCCCACGTTTCATTTCTTAAGACCCTTTTTCCCAAAGGAGTGAACAGAGCCTCAGAAATCCTGTTAAAAAGGAAAAAAACTACTTGGAGGGCTGAGGCGGAAGGATCGCCGGAGCCCAGCAGGTCAAGGCTGTGTTGACTGCGAGCATGCCACTTCACTCCAGTCTGGGCGACAGAGTGAGACTCCGACTCAAAAAAAAAAAAAAAAAAAAAAGTCCATTTGCCTGACAAGTTGAACTGGATTCCTGAATAAATGAAGAGAGGAAATCCATTTTGAAGAGAGTGTTACACACTCAGGTGCAGAGACATGAGTTTATTCCTAGTTTCTATAAAAAACAAAGTGTGAAAAAGATGATGAGAAAAAGGAAGCCACCGTCCATTGTCCTGGGGCTAGGTAGGGGAGAAAGGCTGAGTACCAGAGGAAAAGGGGAAAACAGAAAACCGTATTCAGTACAGGACAAACTGAAACTCACGGGAGCCAGTCTCTAGTGTGATCAAACTGAGTACAGAGAAAACTGAAGAGGAAACCCATTTTCTGTCAGAGACAAACTCAATCTCAGAAAACAGGACAGAGCATTGTTACATAGGGATCAGCCAATTCAGAGTCAAGAGTCAGGATCTGGATCCTAAGCTTGGTTAGAGGAAAGACATGGAAGATTCACAGTGAGAGGACAATAATAGACTTAGGTTAAGAGCATGCTATTGAGAGACCCAAGAAACCAAGAAACCTAAAAAAACCATACTTGCTGTAAAAGTAGTGTTTAGTTCACTATATTTCATATATCCCTACCTCATGTTTACTATATAATTTGTGTATTCCTACCTCATGTTCATTGTGCTTTATGAAATCTTAGTACTTTAAACCCTACCTCAGACCCTATAGAATTAGGCATATGTCGGGTGCGGGCAGTGACTGATTGTATAATGGCTTAAGTAGTGTTTGTATTTAGAACTCTTGGTTAAGCATTGTCAGTCCGGAATGACATGCTAACTTCTGCTTTTACAATGGGATGTAAAAATTAAAGCGATAAGCCCCCTTCAGACATTCCTTTGCGATCGCAGTAGACTCTGAGGCGCTAGCTGCTCTCTAGGTGGGCTTTATCACCGGCTTTCATCCCAGTGTTAATTTACACGCAGTGGCTAGGTAAACCTGAGGAAATCAAAGACCTTTACAAAAACCACCTTGCTATAAGACGTTTGCGATATTTTACAAATTCCCAGAACTAGTATTATATGAATTTCTACCCCACATTCACTGTATATGTTTGCAGCATTCATACTTAAAACTTTGTTAAGTTTGGTTATTGTTGTCCCATAATGACCATGTTATGTTATGTAAATGTTAAGCAAACAAGCCTCCTAAGCATTCCTGGGGTGGATCCGCGAACTTAAAGGCAAAGGTAACCTCCTGTCTGCTTGCTCAAATTACTTTATATGCAGTGACTGTATAAACCTAATTTATCTGACATTCCACTCTGCCCGTTAAGTGGGTTTCTGTCAATCACGGGCAGTCAGGTTACAGCCCATGAAAGGCACCCACCAATACCAAGTGTTCCTGTACCCATTAGGAGAAATTATCCAATCATGTAAAATCAAGTTTAAAGTTCTTTCCCCTCCCTCTGTAATTGTGCATAAAAACTGCTTGCCATACTGGATCTGGGCTCTGGTCCATGAAGCCTCTATGGGCTTCATGCGTGAGCCCAGACTCGAGCCTGAATAAAGACCCTCGTGTGTTTGCATCGGAGCTGGCTCTTTGTGATCTCTCTCTCTCTCTCTCTGATTAGAGTCTCGGGTTTAACAACAGCTGTGGATTTTTTGTTTTGTTTTGGTTTGTTTGTCTTGTTTTGTTTATTTCAGGGGAAGGAGATCAGTAGTTTTAACATCTGCTCTAACCACCCCTGTCTATCTCTGCCCTACAGCAATATGGAAGAAGCATCAAGAATGAACCTCATTCACACACAAACAGTATGAAGAGTTGGAGGCTCTGTTTAGCCAGACCATGTTCCCTGACAAAAATCTCCAGAAGGAACTAGCTTTGAAACTCAACCTACGGGAGTCAACTGTAAAGGTCTGATCCCCTGGGGAGTGCTTGGTACCCCATCCAAACCACCTTCTACTATTCAGCTTGGAAATTCCCTCCCCAACATAGTAGCATTTCATTTCTTGGGTATCTGCTGAACTGGTACTGAACTAGGCACACTGCGTATGCTGGCCTCACTATCATGTAGTTGGAAAAATGGGGGGAAACGAGGGGCAAAGTGCCTGGGTCACACAGAAATTATAAGTAGCGTAACTGGAATTAAAACTCCCAAAGTCTTGTTTTTAACACTTGCACTATAGAGCTCAAATAGAGAACAGGCTCTCATCCAGATTCTTAGAGTCTTGTAAAAGAAAACCCTACAATCTGCTTATTCATAATACCACCAATAGATAAACCACTTCTGCTGACCTCTGAGTCAGCTAAAGCCCATACAATTTTTGTTCGTTTATCTTCATGGTAGCGGCCTCCTGACATAATCCTTGAAAATCCTTCAGTTCAGATTCCCCACCACTTCCTAGATCCCCGAGCTAGCCTCTCTTCTCTGGAGTTTAGGACCCTGTCCTGAACCCCCAGCGTAACCTATAAAACACACCCTCTCCTCCTTCCTCCCTCCCTTTTTTCCTTCCTTCTGTCCCAGGCCTGATCTTCATTATCCCTCCTGTTGACTCCATTCATGCCCATCTCTGCTGTCTCAGAACCTCGTGTCATGAGGACTTGAAGATGCTATGGTGAGGGTTATAATCTGACTGTTTTCACCCAGGAGAAGCCTCAAATGCCTTCCCCAGGAACAGACCACAATCTCTTCTCTTCCCCCACTCCCAGATTTGGTTCAGGAACAGGCAATTCAAACTGAAGAAACAGCAGCAGCAGCAATAACAGCAATCACCAAAGCAACCAAGCCAGATCCTTCTGGAAAAGAAGACAACACCTCTCTCTCCCAGAACAGCCACCAATCCTTATTTATTTTGTCCTGTGATATCAGATTTCTACAGCTCCCTTCCACCTCAGTCCTCCAAACCTTCCATTCGGGCATGGGACTCTACCTTCACGGAGAGTCCCCCAAGTGATTTCCAAATACAAAACTCTCAGCTGGAGAAGCTGGTGGCTTCGGTTCCTCCTTTGTCCTCTGATGCCTATGACATAGCCCAAATAATAGAACTGTACGGTCTTACTGATGAGAATGAGATAGCCAGCTCTTCCTTCCACTCTCTGTATCAGTATCTCTCAACCACAAGGCACCACATAGGAGGACAGGGTTCCTCTCTCAGCATTTTTGCTGGTCCAGCTGCAGGTGTGTCTCCTGGGCAAATCCAGTCCAGTATGATGAGTCAAGGCTTAGAAGTCATAAATCTAAGAGACAGTCTTACATTCCAGAACAGCTCCCATGTGATAGACTTTGGATTTCTCTGATCAAAGTACTAATAAATGCCAGGCCATTTTGAAAAGAGATCTTCTTGCCTCTTGGACATGACTCTTTACTTTCCTTTGCCTGATTTTTAATCTGAATATCTGGGTCTGCTGGGTCACTTTGAGTTCTATAAAAATGTAACAATCGGCTGGGCACAGTGGCTCACGCCTGTAATTCCAGCACTTTAGGAGGCGGAGGCAAGAGGATTGCCTGAGCCTGTAGGTTCCAGGACAGCCTGGGCAACATGGTGCGAAATTGTGTCTACAATAAATTTTTTTTAAAAATTAACTGGGCATGGTGGTGCACGCCTGTAGTTCCAGCTACTTGAAAGGCTACGGAAAAAGGATTGCCTGAAGGCTGCTGCACTCCAGCCTGGGCAACAAAGTGAGACTCCGATTCAAAAAAAAAAAGTTGTAAAATCAGTATTTTTGTTTTGTTTTTGAGTTGGAGTCTCACTCTATCACCCAGGCTGGAGTACAGTGGCACGCTCCTGGTCACTTCAGCCTTGACCTGCTAGGCTCAGTCGATCCTTCCATCTCAGCCTTCCAAGTAACTGGAATTACAGGCATGCACCACCATGCCCAGCCAATTTTTTTATTTATTGTAGAGACGAGTTCTTGCCAAGTTGGCCAGGCTGGTCTGGAACCAAAGTGCTGGGATTATAGGCGTGAGTCACCGTGCCTGGCTGGTTTCTTTGTTTTTGAGTCACAGTCTTACTCTGTCACCAAGGCTGGAGTACAGTAGCAAGATCATGGCTCACCACAGTCTCCACCTCCTGAGGTCAGGCGATCCTTCCATCTCAGCCTCCCGAATAGCTGGGACTACAGGAATGCATCACCAGGCCTGGCTTCTATTTTTTGTAGAGACGAGGTCTCACTATGTTGCCAGGCTGGTCTTAAACTCCTGGCCTCAAGTGATCCTCCCACTTACACCTCCCAAAGTACTGGGATTACAGGTGTGAGCCACCACTCCTGGTCCAGAGTTTTTCAAGTATAGTTCAGTAAAATCAGCTCCACAATTCTACCTCCAAAGAAAAATTCTTTAGTTCCTTAAATGCCCAATGAGACTCAAATTTCCTCTTCCAGTGTCTTGGACTTTTTTTTTTTTTTTTTGAGTTGGAGTCTTATTCTGTTGCCCACGCTGGACTGCAGTGGCACACTCATGGCCACTGCAGCCTCAAACTGCTAAGCTCAGGTGATCCTTCCACCTCAACCTTCTAAGTAGCTGGAACTACAGGCACGCACCACCACGCCCAGCTAATTTTTTGGTTTATTATAGAGATGAGGTCTCACCAAGTTTCCCAGGCTGCTCTTGAACCCATGAGCTCAGGCAATCCTCTCACCTCTGCTTTCCAAACGTGCTGGGATTATAGGCGTGAGCCACCGTGCCCGGCCTATTGGGCTTTTTATTTTAAAAAAGAGAAGGCTGGGCATGGTGGCACATGCTTGTAATCCCAGCACTTTGGGAGGTCAAGATGAGAGGATTGCTTGAGCCCAGGAGTTGGAGACTAGCCTGGGCAATGTAGTGAAACCTCATGTCTACAAAATATACAAAAATTATCTGGGTATAGTGGCATGTTCCTGTAGTCCCAGCGATTTTGGGGGCTGAGGTGGGGGGATCTCTTAAGCCCAGGTGGTCCAGGCTTCTGTGAGCTATGATCACAGCACTGCATTCTAACCTGGGCAACAGAGTAAGACCTTTCCTCAAAATAAGTGAGTGAATAAATAAATAAAAGAAGGACAGCAGCTTTTGCGGTCATCTTTTAACTGGAGAAGCCTAAAAATTTACATTTTACTTTTATATTTATATATATTTTTTAAGTAGGAGTCTCACTCTGTTGCCCAGGCTGTAGTGCAGTGGCATACTCACAGCCACCACAGCCTCGACCTGCTGGACTCAGGCAATCCTTCCACCTCAGCCTTCCTAGTAGCTGGAACTACAGGCACATGCCACCACGTCCAGCTAATTTTTTGATTTATTGTAGAATTGAGGTCTTGTCAAGTTGCCCAGGCTGGTCTCGAAACCCGAGCTTAGGCATCCCTCTCACCTCAGCTTCCCAGAGTGCTGGGATTACAGGCTTAAGCGTGGCCTACATTTTATTTTTAACCTTTAGATTTGGGGTTTTTTTAAAGGGGATTTTCAGTCCAAATGTGAGGGGGAAATTACCATTACCATTAGTTTTTATATACACAGCAGCCCAGAATAGTAAGAGGTATAAAACCTGGCATATCTGGTATTGGTACAAGAACAGGCATATAGACCAATGGAACAGGATAGAGATTCAGCTCATCTTTGACAAAGCCTCCAACAACAACCACTGGAGAGAGGAGAACTTATTCTGAAAACTGGCTTACTACATGCAGAAGTTTAAAACAAGACCCCTACCTATCACCATACACAAAAATCAACTCTAAATGAATCAAAGACCTAAACAAAAAACCTCAAACTATAAGAACCTTAGAAAATGCAGGAGATACCATTATGGAAATTAGAACTGGCAACCAAATCCTGATCAAAACCCCAAATGTCCTTGCCATAAAAGATAAGATAGACAAGTGGGACCTCATCAAACTGAAAATCTTCTGCAAAGCCAAAAAACCATCAATAGAGCAGAAAGACAGTCACAAAATGGGAAAAAAATATTTGCCCACTGTATATCTGACAAAGGCCTAACAAGAAACTCAGATGTGCCAAAAAGAAAAAAAAAAAAAGCCCTATTAAAAAGTGGGCCAAGGGTATGAATAGACACTTCTCAAAAGAAGACATGCAAGCAGCCAACAGAAGCATGAAAAAATGCTCAGCCTCACTAGTCATCAAAGAAACGCAAATTAAAACTGTACTGAGATACCACTAACTCCAGTCAGGATGGCTATCATCAATAACTAAAAAAACAAGCCGGGCTCGGTGGCTCAGCCTGTAATCCCAGAGCTTTGGGAGGCTGAGGTGAGTGGATTGCCTGAGCCCATGGGTTCGAGACCCGCCTGGGCAACTTGGCAAGACTTCATCTCTACAATAAGTCAAAAATTAGCCGGGCGTGGTAGTGCGCACCTGTAGTTCCAGCCACTTAGAAGGCTGAGGCAGAAGGATTGCCAGAGCTCAGCAGGTCGAGGCTGCAGTGGCTGGGAGTGGCCACTGCACTCCAGTCTGGGTGACAGAGTGAGACTCCAACTCAAAAAAATAAAATAAAATAAAATAACTCAAAACACAACAGATGCTGGAGAGGATATAGGGAAAAGGGAACACTTCTACACTGTTGGTGGGAGTGTAAAATAGTACAACTGTTGGGAGCCAGCCACAGAGGCCCACTGAGCATTACGGATCAGGAAGGGCCATTGACCCTGAGACCACTAGAATCCATTCGGGAGCTATTGACGCCATTTCCTCCCCACTTTCTACTCAGCACTATAACCAGAATAAGCTCCTGTAAGCTCAAAACATAAAAACTCTGAGACCGGGATGAACACAAGCTAACTTTAGAAGCTCATTGTTCCCATTCTTCCACAAACTGCAGTTTTGGCTTTCACACAACTTACAATTCAAACTCGGGTCACATCTAAGAACCTTAGTTTTGGTCACAGGCTTCTCTGGGTCGTGATTTTAGGATTTATTGAAGTTGAGTAAGTTGTAAATTGTAGAATATAGTTTTAGAAATATAAATTTAGACAGCCATTTTGTTGGAAGAATGTGACTGGGTTACTTGCAGGTAGCCCACTGTGAACTTTGGACTGGGCCACATTCCAAACATTCTGGGATGGGCCGCTTTAGGTTGTAAAGTAAGTATTTAAGTTTCTATAGAATCATTTAACTTGGTATTAGTATAAATTAGCATAGGGTGAAAAGGGTTTATAGGCAGTCATGGATTAAGGTTAACATCTGTTATGGGATTTTCTTCCTCATACCTGAAAGAACATCTGGTGGGAGGGGGAATGCCCCTCACACACCTGGCTTTGTGTATAAAAGACCCATTGTAATTCCCAATAAATGGCTTCTGCACTAGACAGGGGTCCAGCCTCTTTCTCTCTCTCTCTCTCTCTCCCTCTCTCTCTCTCTCTCTCTCTCTCTCTCTCTCTCTCTCTCTTTCCCTCTTTCTTCTTGCCCCAAAATGCCTATGCCATCTCCATCTTTGGGGTACCCTGAACCCAGCAGGGTATACATACAACCTCTGTGGAAAATAGTGTGGCAATTCCTAAAAGATCTAAAAATCGTCCTTCCATACAACCCAGCAATCCTCCTTCTTGGGATATACCCAGAGGAACTCAAGTCACTATGAAAAAGATACAGGCATGTTTATTGCAGCATTATTCACAATAGAAAATATATATGCTGCCCATCAAAAGTGGACTGGATAAAAAAAGTCATACATAAACACGATGGAATATTATTCAGCCATACAAAGGGACAAAATTATGAACTTCACAGCAACTTGGATGGATTTACAGTCTATAATAATCAGTGATCTATCACAGAAACAAAGAACCGAGGACCACATGTTCTCACTCATAAGCAGACCCTGAACAATTATCATAATACTATGAGAAAGGGACTGGCAGTAGTGGGAAACTGCCAGGGGAGGAGGGGGCTACACTGCATCAATAAGGGTACCTGATCTCAAATCAGATGAAGTGGGGACCAAAGTGAGGCCCAGACTTTATCTGTACAATGACCATTTGTATGCCTAGCCCTGAATTGTACCCCACATCTTTATTTTTATTTTATTCATTTTATTTTATTTTAAAATTGTGGGGTACAATTCAGGGTTAGGTATACAAATATTCATTGTGCAGGTACCCTTGTTGATGAGGTGTGCCCTCCCAAGGCAGATCTCAACTACTGTCAATCCCACCTCTCCGTCCGCCTCTCCCTGCAGTTTCCTGCTGCTGTCAATCCTTTTGTTATATTACTACGGTATTTGTTCAAAGTCCACTTATGAGTGAGAACATGTGATACTCAGATCTTTGTTTCTGTGAAAGATCACTCAGTATTATAGACTCTAATTCCATCC